TTTTTTTTTTTTTTTTTTTTTTTTTTTTTAGAGAGTCCTTAATGCCTGAGCGTGTAGAACATTCTGTGGTAGGAAACATGCCTGGAATGGAAAGGACAACTATGCAGGAAGTTTGTGCATCCATTTTATACATCCCACAATTTGTGGTTATGAGAGAATCAGAGGTATTCAGAGCAAAGACATTATCAGGCGTGGCTCCTGGGGAATATAAACCAGTTGTCTGGTATGGAAGTGTCAAGCTCCCACTGGGGAAACATTAGGCAAAATCAGACATAACAGGAGCATATTTAGTCCTGTAATGTCATCTAAAGACCACAAAGCATCTGTGATAGGAGAAGTTCAGATTCCTTTTTGATCTGCTTCAGTTGAGTAATCACCACATTATTACAACATTCAGGGACTCCAAGAGTCTGAGATGGTACAGATGTCATCTCAGCAAATGCTTGGTCTTTGCCTCTGTATGGGTTAATTTAACTCTTCAAGCTTCATATTCCTCATCTGTCAAATGGATGATATCGGGATATTCTTTATAAGATTTTGAGGATTAAATGATCATGTGGGACAAATGCTTGGCATAATGTCCCACACTCAGAAAGTCCTTGGTGGACGATAAGAGCCGTCATCAGCACCAGTCGGTAGGTATTGAGGCCACTCCTCTGTGTCAATATCCTATCTCCTGTTCCTAAAATCAGTGTAGAGGGACATGCATTATACTAAAAGATCTGGAAGGCAAGAGAAAGAAGAAATGTTTCAGTTCTGAGCCTGAGACTCTGGATGCATGGGGAAAACTTCATGGCATAAAGAGGTAGAATAGGCCAAAGAAAGGCTTCAAAAATAAAAACATTAATATTATTGTTTCTTTAGATCACTAAAATTAAAAAAAAACAACCACTGGATAGTGCAAGTGACTAACATGGTATTGTGGCTTAGCTCTAAGATGTTTCCCCAGAGCCTCAGGTGTTTGGAAGGTGATTGGATCTTGGGGTGCTACATCAATGGATTAGTCAGTCACCTGACTCTTTAAATGTTACATGCCCCACATCTATAAAACTGGAAAATCAATGGATTAATCTGAGTTTATGCCTGAATGTGGTGTCAGGAGGTGGGGCATGGGGGCATGACCTGGAACGGTATATTCTTGTCCTTGTCTCCTCTGATTGCTTTCTGCTTCCTGCCTACCAGAGCTAAATAGCTTTCTTCTGCCAGGCCCTTCTGCCACCCTGTTTCTGCCTTGGGGCCAGCCAAGTGTGGACTGAACCATGGGCCAAAAATGAATCTCTCTTCCTTTAACTTGGGTGTTGAATATTTTGCCCTGCTGAGGAGAAACCCAACTAATGTACATTGAAAACAATTGACTGAAGGAGTCCAACTCTCCATCTCTAGAGAGTAGCACTTCCCATGTGCCTTGCTTGGGTGCTACAGGACGTGCTACCCTAACTTGGTAAGCCCAGGTCTCTAAAATTGGAAGGTCAGTGGTATCTCCTTTGTGTCCTGGCTGTAGCAGTGAATGTTTAGCCTACACTAGTGTTCTTTTTAAGTATGTTCCCAGAATGACTATAGAGGACAAGATGGCACCACAATCACATGCTTTGGCAAGTCTTCCAGGCAACAGATAGCAGAATTGTCACTTCTAAGTGCTCACAGCCTTGCTCAGCCAACCCTTCCTTGTGCCTTCCTTCCCCCTCTTCCTCAGGGATGTGGGAGCCCTCGTGAGGACTTCTCAGCAAGCCAGCCTACATGCACTGTGATGACCTGAAAGCCCAGTCATCTGCAGACTTTGAAGGGAACATGAGTCACCCAACTCCCTAAATGTTACACTCTACAAGGTGAGTGCTACTGGTTTGCATATACAATAAGGCCTCCGCTATATATGATCATCTCTCCTTGAAAATTCTTAGTCACATATTAGTCAAACCACCCCCAAATCAGAGGAGTGAGCCTCCCTCCAGATTTTGCACATAACTTACGGAACCTCCTGAGTAAGCAGGGTTTGGTCACACCTCTTTGGCTGGGGGCAAGCGCATGACTGTATGGATGAATGTCCGTGAGACAGTGCCCTTGCCCTGTGCAGTCCCTTTCTCTGCCAGGCCCACCAGTAGAATTTGAAACTCTCTTGTCTTCCACCCAAGAAAATCTCAGGCCAGACACTTCTTTTTTTCAGTAGAAATTATTTTTCAGAGCAGTTTTAGGTTTTTAGAAAAATTTCTCCGGATGTATAACGTTCCCACACATTTCCTCCCTCTAGTTTTCCCTATTATTAGTGTGTTGTGCTGTTTTGGTACATTTGTTGCAGCTGATGTGCCAGTAATGAAAATGCATATTGTACTTTACATTAGGGTTCAATCTTTGGGTTATATATTTCTATGAATATTTACAAATGCATGATGTTTTGCATCCATCACTTCAGTAACTTTTATAGGGTTGTTTTTTACTGTGCTAAAACATTCTCTATGCTTTACCTACTTATTCTTTGCTCTCACACTTCAATCCCTGAAACCACGAATCTTTTTCTTAGATCTGATTTTGCCTCTTCCAGGATGTCAGTAGTTGAAATCATCCCAAATGGAACCTGCTTGGATTGGCTTCTTTCACATGACAATATGGTCTTTTTCATGGCCTGATAGCTTATTTTCTATTGCTAAATGGTATCTCATTGAACAAATGTATCATGGCTTTGCCATTCGCCTATTGAAGTATATCTTGGTTGCTACCAACTTTTGTCAATTATGAATAAAGCTTCTAGAAATATTAGTGTGTAGAGGAAGTTTTCTAAAGACTGGTTTCCTTAATAGGATCTTCAGATTGATGCTTGGTCTTCTAGTTTTCCTTAGAATGAATCAAAAATGGAATTTTAATCTTAAAACCTTAGTCATATGAGAGATGGTCTGATTAAGTGGGAAGGGTGATTTTCATCCTACAGGAGTTTATTTAACATTTCTGACCTGATGCTTACTCATCTGTTAAAGGATGACAACATAAAAGCTTAAAAATAGGTGTGAAGATGATTGTTAGAGTGTAGATCTAAAATGCTCCGAAAAAGTCTCATGTGCTCAGAGATGGGGATTTTGGAAGGGGATTGGACCATGGGGTGCTATACTCATCAGTGAATTAATCCATTGGTGAGTTCATGGCTGAATGTGCTGTTAGAAGATGGTGCTTGCCCACCTGGGTGCTTGAAAATTATTTTCTCTCTTATTCTGAAAATCTACCATTTTGCAATAACTCTACTTATACTGTGCAGTATTGCCTCCGTGCCTTACCTGAAATCTTCCATCAAGCACATGAAGAACTGAGACATGTTGCTGATTCCTCGTGGTCCTACAACCCAGCTTCACAGAGATACCTAGCCTCCTGATGTAAGTGCATTCAAGTGAAAAAAAACCACAAAGACCATATCTGAGCTCTTATTTCGTGTGGTCTAATGTGTACAGGGCAAAGAAATCCAGCAAAGCACACACATGTGTCATTCAACACTCAACTTGTAGAGGCTCAGGCAACTCCAGTCCGGTCACTGTGGGACATCTGAATAGCGTGCAGTGAATCAGATCCACAGGTACAAGTGTTTCCCCTAATCTCTTCCCTCCACTTTGTTACCCAATCTCCTTCCACACCAGCTCATTTTCTTGGCCTTTGTGTGATAAGCAATGGCCATTTGAACCTCTCCATGTATCTGTTGGCCTTTGGGGAGGGAGGTGACCACCAATAATTGGATCTGAGGCATTGCATGGTGCAGGGACACTAATATCCAATATGTTTATACCTCTCCCAGTGGAGGCTAACTCTGAGAGTATTGTCCTGGAATGTCTAAGGCTTTATGGTTTACAAATTTCTTAGGGCCCTGGGAGGCCAAATGCTTTATCTCAGTGGTTTTTCTCTGTGTGCATACATGTGCTTACACATGGGATTCCTGGGAAATTTATTCAGAATGCTTATTTTTACTTCCTAGTCCTGGAAATTTTGATTTGGTTGGTGGAGCCCAGGAATTTGAACTGTCAGCCAATACCTAGGTATCTTGGCGGCAGCTGGTCCCTGGGGTCAGATTTGGAGAAATGCTGGCCTCTGGTGAGGCTGAGGTGTCTGTGTGTGGATGAGCTGGTCCCCAGCCACAAGCAAAGTCTTGAGGCAAATCAAAATGGGGTCCATTCTGGGGAGCCAAGTGGGTGAGAGACACAGGAAAAGACAACCGATGTGAGAGCAGGGAATAATGCTGACATAGGGTGAAGTTGTCAAAAAGCCTAGTTTCCATGTCTGCAGAGGGCTGACTCTATCCATGCTGTCCTTGTACCTGGTAGGGGCAAAGTGAGACCACCAGCTTGCTTTGCTCAGGTTGATGGTTGCCATGATTTAAATAGATTGTTAGACCAATACTGAACAATCAATTGCAATTCTTATTATGTTTAAAGTATTTAAATGAGAATGTTCTGGCATGGTCCTGCTCCTTACCCAGAGTCAGATCATTTGAATTCAGAAGAGTGTGCATGTGTACACACGTGTGACTGAGAGTGCAAGGAACATGGAACAGGATGGCTTGATTCATGTTATGTCTGTGTGGTCAAGAGAATTTTGATTGTAAACAAAAATAAAAGCTTTGGAAAGGATAGTTCATTACTTCTTTTTGTTCACGTCTCTTTTTCTCTTGGGTCAGTCCAGCAAGTATTTATAGCTGAGCCTGATTCTTGAGAAAGTAGGCTCACAATGGAATGTTTGGACCCAGGAACTCAGGCTTAGCTGACGCTGGAGGGGCCAGAGCTGCTCTTGAACAGCTCCGTAAAGCCAGCTAATGAGGACTAATTGGGCCTTCCTGTGTGCCAGGCCAAGGGTAATTGGGCCTTGGATGCTGGCCTTTCATTTACTCCCCATTTAACATGAGCTCTTGGCTAATGCGTTTGGAGCTTAAACAGGGGTACATTTGAGGCAGTAGCCACATTCTTCCTTGTGTCCATCCTTCCTTCTGTGCTTCTTTCTTTCTTCCTTCCATCTGCCTTTCCTTCTGGCCTTTTGAGGGAGGCAGAGTGGCCTCTGAGGAGAGTTGTTCTGCCAATGCAGGACAAACATTCCTTGTTGTCTGACCCTCTCTCTAGGCATGATGAGGGGCAGCACTTAACAAGGGCCTCAGCCTCAGACTTGGAGTTGATAATCTGAATAGGGTGACTCTGTCCCTGCTTGGTGGCTCCAGCCACCCCTTCCAAGTCCTCTCAACAGAGCCGGCCAGATTCCCTGCCTCCCTGCTCCATGCAACAGCTGACAGGTCAGGGAGTGGGTCCTCGTGCATCCAGGGCAATGACCCAACCCTCGTGGTTTTCTTTTTTGCAACAAGCTGCCTGCTGGGCTCACTCAGTCTCTTCTTTCTGTCAAAAAGTGCTTAAATACTGCACACGGGAAAGCTGCTGGAGTGCATTTTTGGTGCTGTTTGCCTATTGCTGAGATGAGAAGGTTCCTGAGAATTAGTCTCTGGCTATTCAGTGCAACAGCACGGCCTCCAATGAGGTGAACAGCAGCTGAATGTATGTTTGTTTTTTTGTGCTTTAATGGGATTCCTCACAATGCACCCCACCTACACCTGGAGCAGGCTGACTTGACCTCTTATCTAGGACTCCTTGAGCCTTTCCATTCTGAAGTAATACGCACAGTTCCAAAAGTATGTGTGTGCACACACGGTGCACAGGGCGATTCCATCAAGGAATTCTCAAGGAATCTCCAGCCTCAGTTGTTTAGGGTTCACCGAGCTAAACTCTCACCTCCACCCTCGGCCTGGGGTGTTCCTATTTTGTCATAAATGTGACAGGTGATTTATAAGAACATAGATACATTAAAAAAATTTAACACCTTAAAAAACGAATACAACATCAAAATAGCAATTTTGTAGAATTTTAAGTTGGTGGCTAGTTTATTTTTAAATAATTGGTTCTAATACAATATTAATTAAGTCGTTAAGCAGAGGGCAGGATGATACATCAAGCATCAGTTAGAAGGCAACTTTCTGATTTTTGGAGACTTTGTATAGCCACTGTGGCTTGCACCATGCGCTACGCATTGTCTTCACCTCACCTGGAGGGGCTGCCCTGCCTGACATGCTCGCCGGCTGCTCCGACGTGAGCACGCCCCATGTTAATTAGATCTGGCTGCTCCAGCCTCAGAACTCTTCTGACAGGGTCAGCCCTTGGTGCCCCTCTCTGCCCGACGTGGCCACCCCATATCCTTCTCACCTGACACATGAACATTTTTGTTAACGTTTCCGCTTTTCCGGAGGCTACAGGACCCCTTGGAGAGGAATCAGGTCTCCATCATATGTGGATCCTTGAATACTAGCCCTACCCAGGGCTCATTAGAGATACTAAAAAAAGTATGTGGATGAGGCAATGAATGAGATGTTCATGTGGCTGTCCTTCCTAGGATAGTCATAAAATCCAAGTACTTTTCTTAAAAGTGTTTCTCCCTGTCACACTATTGGTAGAAACCTAGATTAGAAAATATTCTATATTAGGAAAGTCTAATATTCTAAGATAAATAAAACTAGGTTCTAAATCTGTTTCTGATGACCACTAGTTTGATATATTTAGACAGGTTGCTCATCTAACCCTGTTTCCCTATTGTAAATTGGAGATAACAACTCCTTTTGATCCTGGGAAAATTAAAAGTGCACCTATATATAAAACCATGAGTTTCTGGGCTGAGGGTGTGGCTCGGTGGAAGAATCCTCCTGCCTAACGTGAAGGAAGCTCTTAGTTTTCTCCCCAGCATTGTGAAAGCAAATAAAACAAACCCAATCTTAAATATAACAACATACAAAAAATTAGCTTCTTTGGTACATAGAAAAAGCATGAAAATACATTCACTTACTATTTTTTTATTAGCATATACATACCTGTCTTCATCTACAAAGGACACTGAGCATGATGTGACCTGTCCTAAATTATTCAGTGTTTGTAGTGGGGAATCAGCTATTGGCATTCCAGTATCCCACTTCTTTGTCTACTTTGGTGCTTTTCTGTCCATCTTCTCCATTGATATCCGGTCACCAGATGTTAGCATTCTCACTATCACACCTGCCGGTGACAAACCCCAGGCCCCACCGCATTGCTTTATTCCTGCAAATAAACATCTTTTTGGTGGCTTCCTCAGTTGCTTCCTGTCTCACTTCATCTCACTGCTGTCTTTATTTTCCATACATCCTCTCGATGCTGATTTCACAGAAAATAAAAAAGACAACAGGCAGTGTTATGTTGGTCTCTCCGCCTTTTAAACCTGTCCATGTCACCTCTTATGTCTCCAAGGCTGGTTTCTCCTCCATTCATTTAGGGTTTTGTTCCATCTGAAACTTTCTGCTTCTGCTTATCTCAGAATCTTTTCTCTCTCATATCACATGCAAAACTTCTTTAAAACTCCCTACCCTAAGATAGACTACAAAGAAGGCAAAATAATCTCTATTTAACCCTTGAATGCTACTGGCTTTACGCTCTTCCCGTCCTCACAAGCAGCTTACCTGAATCTTTTGCTTTCTTAACTCTACTTTCCTCCTCACCAAGATCTATTCTGTTTCTTTCTTTTTTTTATTTTTATTAGTACGCATTTGCAGTACATAACGATTATACTTATCATGGGGAGTTGGCACATGTACATAACACACCTTAATTTTTGTTTTTGTTTTCATCTCCTATCTCTCCCTCCCTCTCTGCTTCTTCAAACTCTCGGTCCCCTTCCCATTTGCAAAGGCTCTATTTTCATGATTTCCTTCAATTCTTTTGTTTTAATCCCCTTCCCTTCTCCTCGCCCCCGTCCTCCATCTCTTATTATTCCATCCACTTGAAAAAAATCTTTTTACATTTTATTGATCTATTTTCTGTTTTGCTCCATCTTTTTATCTATCTATCTATCTATCTATCTATCATCTATCTATCTTTCTATTTTTCTCTCATCTATCTCTATGTATTTCATCATCTAAGCAAAATCATGTAATATTTAAGCTTGTGTGTTTGATTTATTTCACTTAACATAATGGTCTCAGCTTGCATCCATTTACCCATAAATATCTCAAGTTTATCATTCTTTATAGCATAACAACACTTCTGATATGTACATGTTATTTATTTACATTTTTTAATTTAATTTATTTATCTGGATGTATGGACCATTTCCAGAATTTAGCTGTTACAGATTTTGCTACTATAAATATGAGTATGTGCACATCCCTGTAAGATGATGACTTTAACTTTTTCAGGATGATACCTAGAGTGCGAATAGTTAAATCAAATGGCATTTGTGTTTTAGTTTTTTGAGAAACCTCCATTCTGATTTTCATAGTGCTTGGACTAGTTTACATTCCCACCAACAGTGGTAGAAGAGTCCGTATTTCTCA